TCGAAATTGTCATCGGCAGGTGAATGAAATACGGCATTTCTTAACAGTTATAAATGTGCTCCCAAAGAGAAATTAGGGCTCATTCATCAATGACATTGGCAGACATGACGTCGCCTTCGTCTTCGTTACAAAAAGATACAAAAGGTAATGAACAAATGGTGCGGTCGCGGTGTGCAGTTAGCTCACAGTAACGAGTATTCGGTGTCGGAGCTATGTTTTGCCGCAACAAATCCTTGATGAAACCTTAACCTACTTGGATTATTACACGCCGACACCGGACGGAGCGCTGCAACCACTTCGTTTTTGGTTTTGTCACTTATACTAGCGGAGTTATATCCAAATTTTGAAAATTCAAAAATGACACGTGTTAATTTTAATTAAGGCGTATTAAGAAATCTTCAATGATTTAATGACTGAAATTTTTTCCCTAATGACACCAATCTTTATGACAGCCAGAACTTATTCAATTATTTCTTAAATAACGTACCTAAACATATCTGCGAGCTTGTGCTAATGTTGATTTTACCGTGGTAGATTTTATTGAACACTAATTGTAATCAACGCAAATCTTTTATTTAACGAGGAAAATAATCTCGATGATTATCCTGTTCTGAAATGCCTGTCAACGAAATATTAGTTGCATGTGTCCGACTCTTGCAACGTGACGAATGGCCAAATACTAGGTCAAGTACAACGGTGCTTCGCCATTCATTGTGAACGCCGATCTGTGCCCGTGCTGCAACGTGGCCTCGCGATGAACTTGACATATCATAAAACATGTCTTTTTGTTTTATCTTGGCTGTTTTATTGTACCCAACGCTTACATCAACAACAGTTGCAGCGAATGTGACAACACAAGTTACCTAACCGATATTGCGATGCGGAGGCTTGATGTAATTCTGTGGATAACACACCTCCCTTAGATGACGATTCCATCACGTAATTTTCCGTGCGAATCTATTATATCATGGAGTGCGAAATGTACCCCCGACCGACGCGAGGTCGTCGTCCGCTGGCAAAGAGGCTTTGCGAACGCGATGATATACGGCAAATAGTTGAGTACATTCACCGCGTTAGAAAATCTACTTCAGTTCCGCGCTTTCTTTATTGCATCACACCAACATGCCGTTTTGACCGTGCTCTCTTCCGCTTGTGCAAGCCAAGAGTCGAAACTACCATTCTACCATAATCCTCTTAAAAGTTAACGCCAAATGAAATTACAAATGACAGTAAGAACTGCATTATTCTTCTACTTTCCTTATTACATCACCTCCCACTCCCCTATGAAAAGTGGAGTTTTGCAAGTTCACTGACCTTTCCTTCGTCTTGCATCCGCGAGATGCCCGGCATTGTTACGCAATGATTCACGATGCCATTTTATTTCACTTAGAAATTACTATTTCCGCACTTTCCAAATTACATCATGTCATTTAGAAAAAGTAATCGCAGGTTCATTGACCGGGTTCGTTAACCACCTAACCATTATACTATGTATAGGTATTTGCAAGGATCATTGATCTTATATGATCTCATCGTGGCCGAATGGGAGCGACAAAAACTGATATGCGTAGTTATGAAGATTGACAATAACATGTTTCATCCTTGTGATGTTGTTATAATCGAAACTTTCATCGGCCTAGTATAATTTTCTCGTTCGAACGGTATCGAGAAAGTACCGCTGATGTGCTACATTTGGTATTTTGCAATCGATTGTTGCTTACTTCCTGGTTCCTTACGATCCCAGTGTTGCAACAGGCATATTTGTTTACGAGGCGCGGCCAAATGATATTCGATACACGTTTACGATTCACACAATCGTACGGTGTTTAAAATTCCACATCGCGAGGCCTATGAACTTTCATGTTTTGATCCATAAATTTCTTTTCATTTGCGTCGATTATAAACACATCAATAATAATACTGATACGATATCAGTTAGGGAAAGATTGCGTTAGTTGTTGTGGGTTTGTGGTTATATTTTGGTAAAATCATTGATATAGGAACTTGTTTTACCAGTAGTGCTTACGCATATTTTTCAGTACATAACGGTAGAAACGAGTTTTACGAGCGTCGTTTTTATTTTGCTGATTATTCGCGATCCTGTGTGGGTTTATTTATTTACAAACTGTGCCTCGTTTGGCTTGTTGACAGAAATCCCTTAGGTATTAGTTTCCTATAGCATTGTTTCTAGTACGCGTAAAACCGTTTCTGAGTTGTAAATGTCGTAAAGATTAGGTTGTATGAACACCACTACGTAACGATACTTGTAATGATTTTGATGCTTTCAATTCTGCACTGGTATAGAAATGTACACGAGTTCGTCGTATAAGTGCTGCATGCGTGCATTAAAGGCCTTTTAATTCAACTGCATACTCATAATTTAATCTGATAAATCACAATATAGGTTTCTGCGTGTCTTATCGCGTTGACCTGACTGTTTTACGTACTACGTCATTAAGTTATGCGTACCCTATGTTAGTAAAACCATTGTACCGATTCGACGCGATTTGAGATAACGATCATGTGTATAGAACCATATTGGAATTTATATTATTGGGGTTATTTGTTGGTAAATATAAAGTGCTATATTGTTTTAAATTTATCGATTTTATCTTAAATTATATTTACCGAACATATTTCATTAAATTTTTAGCTTCAATGTGATAAAATATATAGTATTAATTATCGATAAATATTGATCCTTTAATGAGCAAATTTTGTCGTTTTTATAGTAATGTTTAACTTACTGCAAACGCGTTTACGATGCAAACCGTGCATTATTTTATTCCATTCAAGTTCTTATGACAGTTGTACTGTAACGCCTTATGCGAATCGAAAAATAATCCTTGTAATTACGTAAAAATAAAGTAATCTTCTCAAAGATAGGTATGTACGCTTAATTAAATTTATACATCTTCGCAACCATTTGTAATACGTTCATGTTGCATTTAAACACGTATCAGTTACATTTTCGCAATAACAACCTATGATAAGTGACCTCAGGCTCAAACATGGGCAGATTACATTTTAGTCACTCTACATACTCAATATGCCTACCTTTTTATCTACAAGGATAACACTAAAAGATAAATATACAAATTTGGGAAATTTGGAAATGGCTTGATAAGATAAGAAACGTTCGAATAAGATCGAAATGTTTGCGCTTTTATTGAATTATATTTTGAACTAGTTTTTACAGTTGTGCTTAAAGAGACAATTAAATTTGACATTACGATATACAATCCGAAAGATTAAGCCTATTTGTCGTCCCACGCGTTTCTGCAACCACGCGGTAAATGTTATTTCGTAAGGCAAAATCGCAACATCGCTTATTTCGCGTTGTCGAAACTACTTCGTCATCCGTAGCCCGTGCCTACGGCTTTTGTGCTTACATATTAAAAATGTATTGTGACATAAATATGCGTATTATTAGTGTTAGTAGGCATAATATCTAAATTAATAAATTATGGGTAGACGGTTAACTAATTGTCGAATTTGATATTATAATGTGTGACACGAATAATTATAGGTTATGGATATAATAAGTATTAAGGACTGATAAGCTGTTCTAACGCAAGTGATAAACTCATTGTTCTAACTAGAATTGTGCAAGATTATGAAATAAGCGTAAGGTGCGTAAATAACAACTCGCGTTGCAAATCTGTCGACTGTTACAAAAGCAAGGATTACTCAAAGTTTGCCAGGACAGCACCTTGGCCCACCGTACACGCATATAAATCACCTACCGAACCCTCGTATTATGTATTATTTTAGCATTTAACATCGTTCTCGCAACTCGATATTAACACACCGTTTGTAATCCCGATTATTGCGATCTGTGGCCGCCACGCTCGAAACATATTGCAAGCTCTTGCATCGACCACTGCAAGACCTTTTTTAATCATTATTTCTGCAAATTCCACATTTGCTTTTTGTGTTGCTGAGAATGGCCACCGCGGCCATGTTTCACATTTCCGATTTACAATAATGAGAAGGAAACGATTGCAGAGCGAGACAATAGTTGATTCCGGCTGCGTATGCGCAGCGGCGGAAACTGGGTAGGCGCTTGCGGATGTGGATTTACTCTTTTATTTATCGGACGATCTAGATCGCATCTGTCGGAGGACAAACATGCAGCTGCCCTTTATGGTATTCTCGGTTAGACCTCCGTATAAGGAGAACAACCCACCTGTCGCCAGATGCTAACTCATTGTAATTACTCTCAGTGTATAACTGCATTAATGCGCATTGCAATATTGCGTGCCTGAAAGTTAATGCTATAATATTTCACACGATATTCCTCTAAATGTTTTCACTCGTGTCTATAATTGGCTTTTAAATGAGACCATCGCACTATTTTCTCAGCGTACGGAAAACTCGTCACCAACGTAATACTGTTATGAAAGTGCATACGTAAACTTATTACTGAGCAGGTTAGTCTAAGTGTAACACACCGCAAAGAATACTTACGAGGGTTACGCGAATGATTACGTTCTGCAAATTTCATATAATGAGATCTTCTTTGGCGACCTCATTTATGTCTTACACGAAGCGTACGCGTTTAATAGACCATAAGAATACACGTTTTGTGCAACCCTTGTAGCATATGTTTTTAGTTTTGTAGAATGGGTTTCGAAATAGTGTAGATAAAGACGTAGAAATAGACAGCTGTATATTGGGAAGGAGTCAATGAACGGAAGTATTTTCACGTGCAGTGACATACCGCTGATCGTTTATCAGACTTGCGTAAGTGAACCAACTTGCCCAATCTATGTACATTCAGTTATGCTAAACGATTTGTGTCACTGTGGACAGGAATCCACAATTGTCTTGTTAGTTCTCTGTCGCAAGCGGCAAGTAGCGGTTACCTTAGCTGCTTTCTACGGCGGCACTCTTTCTCCGTTACGATGCTTGATTGCAAAACGCGGAGGTTGCGCTTTCTTCGTTCGCGACGTCGGAGAAATTGTTGCGACACCGCCGCCTCGTACACCGACCCCGCGTTAGAAAGTCGAACGTTCACCGGATTTAACAGGCCCGGGCCACGTAACGGTGTAATTGTTGCGATTCGAGATGTGAGATCGATGGGGATTTGGATACTTTTTGCGTAAACGCTTTCTTCTTGCGTAAGCTTGGCTGTAAATTTGGACGGGGTCGTTGAACGCTAACATAACCGCGTGCGTAAAGGTAAAGGTAACTTGAGCAATTGGCTCATTACAAAGGAGATTTGCGCAACGGGTTGTATCGGCGCCCGTTCCGCAGTCCGTCAATTGCAACACGGGATATTTCGGAGGCGCCTTGGACTCTCGCCCAGACTTGCAACATGCCATATCGCAACGGCTCATAATCCATTGTGAGTTGTGACACGCGACCTGCACGGACACCGTCGGCCTGCCAAACAAGGCCCACATAGAAGGGTGGTAGTCGCGCTATCCGATCTCCTCGACAAATGTCATCAAAGCGTTTCCGCCCATAGTGGCTGCATTCGATTTTAAAACTAAAACAATTTTGCAACCGATGTTCACATTAGCGTTTTCGCAAGCAGGCCCAGCGCTCGGTTTCAAAACGTTCGCCTTGCGTTATCGCTACTCCGATAAAGCAAGCTCCACTAGTGTTTATGCGGTTTTGAGACCTAAATTCAGTTTTGATAGTATATAAGCATAGGTAACGAAATCGGAGGTACCGTTTCACAATATTTAGTCACTAAGCTTAGGCACGCGTGTATATAGTACTTAAGATAGCGCAAAGCCCACAACATATGGCGTTATCAATACATGGAACACCCGCAGTATAGTGATTGCGCCACGGACGACTGTTTAATTGGGTACAGTCGGGATGGTTTCCCAATGTATCCCGGCATCTCGCGGGCGTGTGGTAACGCGTTACGACATGACCTGTCCCTACAATGCGGGTTACGACAACCTATGACTAACAGACGCTGGGCTGTGTTGCTTCGGGCTGTTACAAATATTGCTTTTAGCTCTATGAGCAATTGAAAACAGTATAATATCAGAGTGAATTGCGTAAGTTCGGCAGCGATATAACTCGAGCAGGAAGTGCATGCATGTGTGCTGCATCTGTGAGCTGCCATTGTTTGTTACGAAACTGTCAGGGTTGAGTTGAGCAATGGCGGCATTGCGAAACGCCGGCGCATCCCGCTAATTGTGGGCGATCTCCTCTATTTACACACATTAACTCAATAAGTAATCAAGTTGTAAATTGTAATAGAAGTATTTGTGCAAAACACCTTTTTATCTTCATCTAGCTAATTTTTACCAAACTTCATGAGGCGGTATAAAATAATTAAGTATTTAAAACAACGATCCTAGTACATCCTAATAATGCGTTTTTTCTTACATTGATTAAATGACAACATGTGAAGTATGGAAAGCCGCAAGCAGGTCGGTAACACGCGCGTGACTATTGGAGCATGCAAAGAACGGTCTGTCCTTTTGTGGTCTCGCCGGCCGCGACCACCGAGAATCCTTCGAGGCCACAGCACCGCTCGGAACACGCTCGGAAATCCGGCCAACCTTCCGACTGCGTTACGACATACTTATTTACACGTTGCGAAATACGAATCGATTGCAACTGCAGACATCGCACTTTAGCCTTGCCGCTGTAAGGGATTTAATTAGGATCAATTGCGCAGTCGACGCCTAAAACTGATACGAGGACTCCTGCTCCGTTCACTGCTGTATTTAAAAGGGCTACATGGTGACGTCAGAGTTCGACTGTTTCCACACCTGATGCCTATTGCTACATTAAAAATCATGATTAATTAACATTAAAAAATTCTAATAGCAAATTTGCTCATCTGATTTTCGTTAGAGCTAGTATATTTCACGATAGCAATATTGCGACAGCTTAACGAGGCTAACCTTTAGTAGAGCGGCGATTCATATTGTCACGATCACTTTATGAATATGTTAATAAATCAGTATCTCTTTATCTACGTTGAAGTTATTACGTTGTTTTAATAATTCTCGCTTAGGTTGTAATCAGTCGTTTGAACTCTTATATGCTATTTGTCAAATTGTGATCGCAACTTCGATTTTGTAATGTTTTAAGCAAACCCGATATTTATTGCCACCAGCTTTCGGAGTACGCAAGCTTGTAAACGTAAGTTAGACTTCGCAATCTTTGCGTCGAGCCGAAATTGAATTTAAGATTTAATTCCGAAATAGAACGGGACCCTTCTTAACATTCTTTTTAACGCAGCGTTCCCCTCAAAGTATTATCACGGGCTAAAAATATACTTCACATTAATGCACGTCGATTTAAATGCATCGAAACGCCTGCCAGCACCTGCCCTTATGTATATCTTCGGATATAGATACCATACGTACAATGTACATACTCTAATTACTTTTAATACCTACCCGTAATGTAACATTCCACATTGAGTCAAACATCAATGAATAAGGCTGTTTGCAATTAGTTCATCTGAGTCAACATTTGGAGTTCAATAGCACTCCCTTGGCAGGAAGTTTACTTTTTGGCCCGTGTCATCGTTCCTTATTGGAAACATTGATTCATACAAAAGCGTATACTGTTTCGAATTGTGCATTAAATGCATTTCGAAATGATGCGGCAACATGAAATACGAGGTCGCAGTGCGCCTAAAGCCCGTGATGTGACGAAACAAAACCCATTGCGTCACTGAACGGCTTTATAGTTCGCCATGTAATTATTTACATGACATTATTGTTACATACAATATGTGAAAACATTTTGCAACGCTCCGACATTCATTAATGTGATGCTTTACTAATTAGTAATAAACGAATGGATAATAGCGGCCAGTCCTTTGAGCACAAAGGGCCCATTACTGCGCGAGCGAATACCGCGATGTGCAGAACATAATATGGGTCATCGGCCACGGTATCAAATAAAATCGATAAGTTCAATGCATGTTTAAATAATTTTGGATGTTAGTAACTTACGAAATTCTCTTATTGTTGCAGAACGACACTCAAATTGGAATCATTAGAAGACGCGGTAGTACTCGACGATCCTCAAGAAGATCTCCTTCAAGACAAAAGAGGTTGTCCCGCTTACGTCTCACCCGAGATCCTGAGAGCTCATAGGACGTACTCGGGGAAGGCCGCAGATATGTGGTCGCTCGGCGTTATTCTCTACACAATGCTCGTAGGAAGGTATGTATCTCCCGCATATACAAACTAGATCACTAGACTTGATTATTTAAATTTCAAATAGCTTAATTATCGTTCGCATTCATTAGGAAATATTTGGGTCAGTGCAATAAAACGTGCATAATTTAGAAGGGCAGTGGGGTGGGCGTCTTCACCTGCTACTACTCACCTACTAGCGTGGGACTTACCGTTTTTAAAGATCGCAAGGGTCGAGGCGACCGTTGGCGACATAGGGATGATCACCTGTCGGCCGTTACGCACCAACGGCTAGCAATTATATCACCCACATATAAGTTTATACGTCTCGTGAAATCTTCGCCGCACCTGCCGCACCGCGGTCATGTGGCGAAGACGTTGCTCCGCCCCAAAACGAGCCTCCCTCGCCGGCACCTGCTGTTTGCGATCCTTTGTTTTCTACTTTTAAGGCCCCGCACCCGTAATTTAAATTCGAAACTCAGGATTTCGCCGCAATCGCCGGTTTCACCTGTCGCCGGAAGGGTTCCATCGTTTACCTGAGTTTTTGTTTCGCGCATCTGCCCAAATGACAATCACTTCGGCGTCATTATCTCGGCTGGTACATAAAAAAGTTTAACTTCAGGCGATCCATCCTAACGTCGACGTCAATTAGTGTTATCTTAAAACGATAAGAAGCCGCGGGGTCCCTTCAGACAAAACCTTATCTGATTGCGAGATTGACATTTTAATTGTCTCGAAAACGTCACACGAAATTAATAGAGCTTTTCTTTTGTTGCAGGTATCCGTTTAACGACTCCGAGCATGCGTCTCTATTCGCAAAGATCTCCCGGGGTTACTTCGTGGTTCCGGAATGTTTGTCGTCGCGAGGTAAATGTCTGATACGTTCTCTGCTACGGCGAGAGGCGTGCGAACGCCTGAGTGCAAGGGACGTGTTGAGGCACCCGTGGTTGGCGAGAGATCCTCGCAACGAGCTCCCGCCACGCGCCGCTGCTTCGCAGGACCGTCTCGTGCCCGACGTCGAAATGGACGTAGACTGCGTCTAACCAGTCCTTTACCCTAGCTCCGGTGCTGGCATCGGTACAAGTTCCACTACCGTCATAACGCAATAGCTCTAAAGAAACCGAGTTCGCGAGCTTGCGGTTGCGCTCACTGAAATGTCGGTCCTTATTTCACGCTACGTGTTTTCAGTAAGTTGTATCCGAAGCCAAATAATCTCTGTCGAGATTTAATTTAGTGATTATATCGGACGGCGGAGGCGGCTGGTCCGCGTGGCCGTCCATTATTTATCTATGAAGGCTTGACCTGCAATAATCGCATTCAAACGTGAATTTATGCGGCTTTTGTTGGCGGTTGGCTTTCACGCTGTGGTATATAGTCTTAATGTTCGTAATGACAGAATAAGTGAGACTGATAGTCCGGCGACTATCTCGTGTCGGGGACCATAGATTCATCTTATGGCTTGTGAATAGCAAGCTCCCGGTTTAAGTTCACGCTGCGCGAATCCAACGTTTAAAAGAATCGACCCATAGCTTTCGAAGCCTATAATACATTTAATCAAAAGCAGGTATTTATTTTCGGGTTTTCCTACCCTTTTAAAAGTTGAATCCGCGCCTAATACGCATTGCAATGTCGCCCAGCTTCGAATGTTCGGTTGACGAAGCGTTGTTACGTTAATTCCTGTTAAGCCTATAATCATATGAATTTCACATGAATATAGATGGATATATTGCATCGAAGCTGCGTATTTAGAAGTAGTTGTATATTTTGTATTTATATGAAATGTTATATTATCGTGTAATTGTGATCTCCACCGATGTTAATTAGCGATTACTTGATTGCCATTATGTTACGCAGAATTGATTATTTTGCATAACGATCAGTTGCTTCCATCATAGAGATATATATTAAATTTTCGGTTTATGTATTCGGCAGATCAACGTGAATTGGTTTTTTTTGTCGATCGAAGTATGTTATAAATTTGCGCACCATGTACCGGATATGTTCGTTGGATTTGGTTTGTGCCATTTACTTAATTTAAATCTAATTTATTGTTGTTGTAGCGACGACGGCACTTCTTCCTATTAAATTATTCGTTTGGTACTTGGTGTTGGGTTTATTGATTTTCATCATATTTTTGTTATATGAAATCAATTTTTGTTTGTCAAAATCAATAGTTTCAATTTTTTGTTAAAATTTTTGGCCTTTGGGATTCCTGTGAACTTTCATATTGTTGAAAGTGTAGCTTTGAAGTAGTCAAGTCTTTCATTTGTGAAAGCGTGTTGTACAATAATAGTCTACTGTAAATTAAACTATTTTAACATTAATTTATACAAACTGTAAATAGAGCTAAGATATTATAAGATTATTAAAAAAAGGAAGAATGATAGAGGGAATAAATCATTTAAAATATATGGAAGAATTTTTATTTATATACCTTTTAAAAGCCAGATATGGCTAAAAGAACCAATTTAACACTTGGAAACATTTTAAATGTGGTGAAAATTTTGTCTGGACCAATTACCTACTGGTTGAAACAAAAGACAGAATGTATTAAATATTGATAGGTTTATATAAGGTAGAAAAGTAACTACTACATTTATCTTAAGGAAATAAAAGCTTAAATTTTATTATCATTTGCTGATAATTGATATCAGAGGAATGAAAAATTGGAACGTCATACTAACGAAGACAACATAATACCGTAATTTTACAGTACAAGAATCAAACAAATTATGAAGACTAAATAAAAAAACAACCAAAAAAATTAGGATCTTCATGAAGCGTGCTTATAGCTAAATTATGATGCGACACATTTTTATTTTTTCTGCCGAGTTTTATATTACCTAGTTATCAGAAATGGTAACTTCCAATAGGGCAATGCAGTTTAAAACTTCGACTGTCCCTGGGGCGAGCCAACATTAAGTGAGTAAGCTTTGACGGAAATATCTTTAAACGTTGTAACTTGTATGATTCAATATGGTAAACTATTTCATAAAATCATCAATTCTGTGATCCGGCCACGACATATAGATGGATGTTGTGAGTTACCTGAATACGGCGGTAAAGAAATAATTGCGTATATAGGATTAGAACTCCGCTAAACCTCCAATGAGACACAGTACAGACATAGGTATTGCCTGAATGTTTTCTTTTTAGGCTTGGAGGAAAAATATTTTCCTCTCAATACACCGCTAATGTTTATCGGGAACAGGAAACAACAACCTGTTAAAATAATATAATAAAACAAGTGCTGGATTGATCGGTAGATTGTTGACTTTAATATATTAGGTCTTTCGTTTCAAGTATAGGTATATAAAACTCATCCCAATAATTTTGTGTAGAAGGTTAGTAATAAGATTTTTGCCCTCTATCCTTCCTTCAGGAAATGCATTGCGCATACCATAATATACTAGTTTAGCAAAAACAAATATGAGAAGTGGACTCATCATATTACCAGGAAATAAAAGCCTAAAAAATTTCTTGACTTCTACTAATAATCCGAGTTATCCCCATTGTGTTCATAATAAATCGCAGTTGTAGTTTAAATATTCTTAGTAATCATTTGGATGCGGATGTATTACTAAGAAGATCCGGTTCATACACATTAAGTAATTAACTTTTTCTCTGCATATTGTAATAGGGAAAAAATATATATTTCTAATATTTGAACTCAAATGACTCAATGTTAGATTAAAATAGCTTTCTTTATTCATTCGCAGGCGACATAACTACAATAATTAAAAAATAAAAATCACTTGTACTAAACGACTTTTAATATCACAATACTTGGGAAATAAAGTCAAGATTTATATTTACATTCTTCCATAATTATTGATGCAACAGTAAATAAATAAAAAGGTTTCGAGATGTTTCAATTATTTAACTACATGGAGGTGTAAAGCTTGACCTCTGAACGCATATTTATTTCAGCGCCATCTATTGGTATTCCTATAACTTGAATCGTCGAATGTCGAAGGTCTTTACTAGATAGCGCTATCTAGTAAAGACGTTCGGCTTTGCTTGGTCCGTGGGTCATGGCGTATGTTTGCATGCGTCTTTCCAATTCCGGCCTAAAATGCCTAATCAGGCCTTGTACGGGCCACGCTGCACCGTCTCCGAGAGCACAAATTGTGTGACCTGAAAAAAATCTTTTTACTAGCTGAATGCAGTTTTAATTGCATATTGCAATACAGTCTAGGCTCGTAATCTGAATTATATCTTAAGTGACTATGTTCTCGAGATCTATCAAAATCGTCAAAGAGAATAAAATATTACACAACACATAAAACAAAAAAAATATAATAATAAATAGAATAAAATTAAAAATTAAAATTAAGAAATTTTTTTTGCATTGGTTCGTTCATGTGAATTGTGTGTACTGTGGTTGTAATTGGCCCTGGCTCAGATTATGCTGAGGAGAAAAAGTTCAAGGCTGTCATTCAAGAGAATAAAATATCTTGCATATTGTGATTATCAAAAACATAAACATAAGATTTATATTTTAAGATGTACCTTCAATTTGTTTGGAGATCTCCCACAACATATCAATCTCTTTAGGTGAAGCATTACCTTCGACGAATCTGTAAAATATAGATTACATTTCCTTTTAAGAATTGTTATATACTATTTTAGACATTATTTTTTACTTACGAATTTTATAAAGATGAAAAAATTTACAAATAACATTATCTTTCAGGAACCATACCATCTCGGCTTTAGACATTTTATTTGTATGTAATAAAAACACAGCTAAAATATTTGGCTTCTTGTTAATATTTGAGCCAGAGATTTTGCATTATTAAATCAATATTTAAGGTTGAATATTGTGATTTTATATCATAAGTCAGGAAAGAATTTGATATTTTTTATAGTATCATGATGTTGTAATAAAGACAAAAAAATCATAGTCAAATGAAAGAATAAGGTCTCACCTGTATATCATTTTGTTCATCCAAGAGACACCTTCACGACAAGGTGTACATTGACCACAAGACTCATGTTTGTAAAACATAATCAGGCGAGCGATGGCCTTCACTATGTCTGTAGATTTGTCCATTACAATGATAGCTGCCGTACCAAGCGAGGTTTGAGCAGCCACCAACCCATCAAAGTCCATTAAGACCGTTTCACAGACACTGAAATTTGAATAAATTTACGTATATATACCTATGTATTTATATAGAAAAATCTTTATTTGACACTATGACTTCATTGACAATTTTTTAAATTATTTAAAATTGAAACAAAATATTAAAATCTGGACTAAGTCTAATGTGTGATTTAGACCAGAATTAATTGTATATAATAATGTCTATTATGGCGACGAGTTTTATTTATTATTGTTAGATTAATTTATTAACGTTTTGAGAATGAAGACAGATGAATATAAAGAACATGTAATAAATACTTTGTTATTAAACAAAGTATTTATAACATGCAAAAATACTGTAATATTAGTAATTTTATTTATTTTGTGCATAATTCGATTTATAACCACAACAGTAAACATCATAATGAAGTAGGTATATCTTGTATGGCATATTCTTTGGATGCTTAACAGTGGGAGTATTAATAATATAAAATTATACACAACTGGTCATCTCACTATTTTTGTAATGGCGGCCATAATTTATTATCTAGAAGTTAGAACTGCACAACACACAACTGGATAACTTTTTTCAATTTAAATTACATATTTATTGTAATTATGTCAATAAAAGATAATTTTACTATTTAATTTCACACAAACTATTCTCAACATAAAAAAACACTACTGATCATTATAATGTCGCGTCAGTAACCTTCTATTAAGCTAAAACTAACGGCAACTGTAAGCCATATTGGTATATTATATATACATTTATTTAAATTAATTTTGAGAAGCTAATAAGTAAATTTATTTGAACTTACTGTTTAGGTATAAGCGGAGTTGAAGAACCTCCTGGAATGATAGCCAGAAGATTATCCCATCCACCACAGACACCACCAGCGTGACGCTCAATCAGCTCCTTCAATGGGATACTCATCTCTTCTTCAACAGTGCAGGGAGTGTTGACATGACCAGAGATGTTAAATAGTTTGGTTCCTGAGTTTCGGGTCCGGCCGAAGGAGGCAAACCACTTGCCACCACGACGGCAAATTGTCTGTAATAGGGAATATCCATAAAGTTTAAATTTATTAAATATTTTTTTCTCTAATCTTTTCTACGTATATATTATTACTAGCAATGCCCCGCGATGTCACTCGCGTAGACACCGATCTCGTGGTAGTGGAAAGTCTACTAAGTTGGACTATAGATATAGTTTGGTTATGACAAATGTTTAATTTTACTTAATTTTCTTAGTTTTTAATTACTTCCTTTTAGATTATTAGATACACACTTACATTCATAATCTAATCAATATACGGATTTTTCTTTACAAAGAATATATATGTAATACATTTTTAAATTCATAACATTTAGAATGGCCAACATTAGTAAATTTAAAAATACTCTACAGGTATTGAAAAATTCTTGATTTCAAGTAGGTAAAGAAAGAAGTTTTTTAATCAGTCCAGGAATTTTTAGCTTGATTATTAATAAAAAAAAAACAAAACTTCAATTTTGTTAAAAATAAAAACAAAACTTCTAAATACAAAACTTTCTTCTTTAATATTAGAGAAGAGATTTATTTGTAGAACTTCAGTGTTTTAGAACTTCCTTATACATAACATTTGATGTAGTTTTGTTTTGTGGCAGCAAAATAATTTCATGTTTTTTTTGGTCTATCATCATCAGTTTCAGCACATGCAATGACAGATTTTTTCACACCTTGAGTTTTATTATTGCATTTTTATTATGGATCCCTATCCCTTGTTGAAAATGTAAAGCCTATGTCATTCAGTGAAGATGCAGCCTTCTAATGGCGAAAGATTTTTGAATTTCTCCAGTAGTTTAGTAATTTTTTTTTCAAATTAATTTTACAAATATTAGGTTTTTAAGAGAAACTTTATACTTTGTCAATTCAAATAAAATCAAATCAATCTTAACCAAAGTATGTCTCGCACAACGAATACAAGGAAGGATGATAAGTTATTTGAAATTATTGTTTTAAATACAGATACTCACTGGAGAGACAGCAATTGTCTCCACATTGTTGACTGTCGTCGGACAACCAAACAGTCCAACATCTGCTGGGAATGGGGGCTTCAACCTTGGCTTGCCTTGCTTTCCTTCAATAGATTCAATGAGAGCTGTTTCTTCACCACAGATGTAGGCCCCTGCACCTCGGTGAACAAACACATCGAAATCATAGCCAGAGCCACAAGAATTCTTTCCAATTAAGCCAGCCTGGTAAGCCTGGAATAAGAAAAATAAGAATTACAATTAAAGTTTAAAGTTTCGGACAGAAATTATATTTGCCGTCAACAGCTAAACAAAAACTAGACGCTGCTGGTTCAGAAGTTATCATTGAAATTTTTCTAAATCTAGTTAACACAAAATACATTTGACTGTAAATTGTGAATATTCCCCAATAATGGGGATAGGATATCTATCCAACCAATATTGTTTTGTCAAAATTTGTTTAAAAATTTTACATATATTATATTCTTTTAAAACTTAATAACTATCCAGTAAGAATAAAGCAGAAACTAATAGAAAATAGGTTTTAAAACAGGCACTTTATGACACTTTAACAATAAAAAAAATAGGATCAATAAAATACAACATAAACAAGATTGACACTAAGACATACCTCAGCAATGGCTACTTGTAAATTACTGGCCTCATTATAAAACTCTCCTCTAATGTAAATATAGGCAGCCTGAGCACCCATTGCACGACCGGCAATCAAACAGCCTTCTATTAACTTGTGTGGGTCATGACGCATGATCTCTCTATCCTTGCATGTACCAGGTTCTCCTTCATCTGCATTCACAACTAAGTATTTGGGTCGGCCATCAGAAGGCTTATTCATGAATGACCATTTCATCCCAGTTGGAAATCCAGCCCCTCCACGTCCACGGAGGCCAGATGTTTTTAGTTCATCTGAAAGTTTTTATATAATTATTAAATACAATATATACATTAAATGAAATCAGTATTTCTAATGACTAATACATTATTGTTGGTATATGTACCTTTATATGTTTCATATAATATTCACATAACAAGTGGTTTTCTTTAAGAAGTGTTTCAAATGTTGCATAATACAATGCAATTGTATAATTACAATTAACCTATACTTATTATTATATTTTTTGTTAAATTTTATTTAACTTTAGCATAGATTTCATAATTGTTTTTTTTATATACCAGTATATACTATATTTATAAATATAAGAAAGTAAAATGTGTTAAAAAACATAACAAACATAACATCTAATTACTGTTTAAATATTTATACAGGAAAACCATTAATAATAATTAAATGCATGTCCAGTGCAAAAATAGTAATAATCTGACTAATTATCGAACAAGCAATACTTACTAACGATCCAGTCTGTTCCTTTTTCCAAAATATTCTTTGTCATGTACCAATCTCCTCGAGCCATAGCTCCTTTCAATCTCCAGTCATGTCTTCCATAAAGGTTCGTGAAAACTCTGTCTGCATCAGCCAAGGGTCCATATTTCGTTTTCCCCTGACTCTCGGTCTGCTGGAAACGGACTGAACCACTGGTAATACTTACCAGAGGCCCTGCAATACCTGAACACGTCAAAATTATGTAAGTCACAACTGCGCACAACAAAACACAAATAGTTTTGTTAATATGCTTAAAATAAGAACAGCTTTTTTCTGTAGACGCTGTTCATATAATTTCATCCTAATCAAATCACCTAGGTGCGATTTTGTTCCCTGAACAATCCTCGCCAATGCTCCAGCCATTTTTCAGGTTTCTTGGTTCATAAACTGCTAATGACAGATTGAGATTTCGTGAGTGCAGAGTGAAGGGACAGTTTATTTTCATCGCTATATGTCAATGATAGCGATAGTAATACAGATTGCCTGCATATCTGCAAACTTTCTAATCTGTGGGCCAATTCGACAGATTACGTTAAGAATTCAGATCGTAGAAAGTTGATCAAAGTTCGGATTGGAGCATCACTAGTATTTGGTACACCTCCCTAAAACCGTCACTTTTTAAATGAAAACAAAATTATCAATAGATTTTTGTATTATCATTTTTTTATTATCTTTAATCATTTTATAAGTGATAAGTACAGAGTAATAAAAATATATGAAAAATAAGTTGTTTGGTATATAAATTGTATTTTATCGAATTAATATAATGGCAGCTGTTATTCCAACAGTTACTAAATTATCAAAAAGAATCATAAGAATTCTGGGTTGTAACCCAGGACCAATGACGCTTCAAGGTACAAATACATACTTAATTGGAACTGGTAAAAAGTAAGTATTGAAGTATAAAAGAAAGAACGAATAATATAAATATGTACATATTATCAACAAGATATTGTTGACTTGTATTTTTGCAGTCGTATACTTTTGGACACTGGTGATAAAGACATGACAGAATATCAGAAACATTTATCTGCAGTAGTAGGTTCAGAACAAGTAAATATTGAACACATAGTGGTTACACATTGGCATCATGACCATATAGGAGGAGTTGAGAATATTTTTGGGACAATTGCAAGCAAGTATAAAATAATATGTATTTGTAAAGTAGTAGTTCCATTTTACTGTTCAGGCTTTCTTTTGTCAGCTAGTAACAGGTTTCACAAATTTTGCAAAGAAATATAAACAAAGCTAAAAAAAAATAACTAGTAAGTTACTTCTCACACTTAAGTTCATTTTAAAGAATGCCTGTAAATATTTAATTATTATCATGTTTTTGAACTAGAACAGCCAAAAGTTTGGAAACACAAAAGGGATTCAGGTGACTCTCATGACACAAACCTGTTACCATGTCATTTTAATTGGCTTTATGATGGACAAGAGCTGACAGTAGAAGGAGCAACTCTTAAGGTTCATCACACACCTGGGCATACAACTGATCATGTGGTCTTGACTTTACAAGAGGAAAATATTTTGTTTAGTGGGGACTGTATTCTTGGAGAAGGCACTGCTGTTTTTGAAGACCTTTATACCTACATGAAAAGCTTAAATAGAATATTAGAATTGAGTCCCAGTGTTATTTATCCAGGACATGGAAATATTGTTGATGTAAGGATTTGTTTTATCAAACTGAATATTACAGCTTAATTCAGTGTTGGCATAGTGGCTTTATCATGCCACTCTCATCCCAGAGGTTGTAGGTTCAAACCCAGGCTGTACATTCTGTCTATGTGCACATTTAAAACTTGCTTCTACGAAAGGTAAGAAAAACATTGTGAGGATAACAAGATGCCTTAAGACCCAATAAGTCAATGGCGTGTGGCAGGCACAGAAGGCCAATCATCATGACATGCCTATTAGAGAAAAACAAAGGATCACAAAACAGATACACAAATCTGAGGCCTAGACCTCAAAGTTTGTAGTGCCACTGGTATTTTTTGTACTTTTTTTTATTAATGCTGTGTAAAGCTGAATCCTTTGCAATCCAACAGAACTATAATTACTTCAGCCTACTTTCTTACAATGCAAATCGTCATGTATTAGATGTTATAGTGTAATGTTTTACTGTGCTATTGGTTATATTGCTTGTATCTATATTTTTTAGTTATATAGATAAATTTTCACTTCATTTATAGTTTCTCCCTGTCTTTTTAGGATCCTATTGAAAAAATTAAATACTATATAGCACATCGAACTCAAAGGGAAGAACAAATTTTGGAAGCTCTTAGGAACAACTCCGATAAACAATTGAATGAAATGGATTTAGTTAAGATCATCTATAAAGAAACCCCAGAGCATTTATGGCCAGCGGCTGCATATAATGTTAATCATCATTTGACAAAATTAGCCAAAGAGAAAATAATAAAATGCCTAGATATAGATGGGGAAAACAAATGGCAGATAGCTATGACACAAAGCAGTTTATAAAGATTCTTGCTGTAAAGAATTTTCATATATTTGGTCAAATTCAGAGGATATATATTTAGTAGTAGGTTATTTTCCTATATTTATTAGTAATAAAGGGGGATTTATTGGGTAACAAATTTACATATTTACAACCTAATTGTTATAAATGATTTTGAATATGAAGTCAACACTGTATTCTTTAAAACTGTATATTAAATTATTTATACTGTTTACGGAGTATACATTCCCAGCATTATTCATTTTCTATAACCTCAAGTGATTATTTTCAGAGGAACCATTTTACTGACGGGATTCTTGGGTTTTGCAGCAATTGTTTTCATATTACCTATCGAAAATATGTATTAAAATAAAGGAATAAAATCATCATCTTGGTGAACATTTATTTCACAGTTTGATCCATTATAAGTCCTAATACTATAACAACAAATCAGTTACATAAGGCTTTATGTTACAGAAACCCTGACAAATATTATATCTTTTACAAAAAAGGTATTTATTTGATTTGCCAGTTTTTGTTAGCAATATAGCATTGGGCAAAATTGTTTTAGGCTAAAAATACCAGTTTTAGTAAGTAATTTTTTTCTTATTGTATTAAATTGTTTTGTTTTTGTAACATATTTATCAACAAAAAAAACTGAAGAAAACCTGTTATTTTTTGATATGAGTATTTCTAAATTAACCTCAGATCTACATGCCATATTTAATCAATAATAATAGCTGCCTTTTTAATGTACTAATGTACTCGGGTATAGTCAACTTTAATCTTTATGCTATAAAGTAATAACATTTTACCTGTGAAATCTATACTAATATTATAAAGCTGAAAATTTTGTTTGGTTGAACGCGCTCATCTCAGGAACTACTACTTTATGATATATTGTATGTGCAATGATGATATCAGGGACACATGCGTAACAATTCTTTGTTATACAGTTTAGCTCATAACTTGACAGTATTAAAAAATAAAGCTTAAAACATGTTTTAATGAAATAGGAATATCTGAATTTTCATAATCCAATCTTTTCAGTGTCTTATTGGTGGAGGCATAAGTGATTCTTTCTTATACCTCTTATTTATGCAATACAGTAAATAATCCTTGGTAACTGGATTTACGATACTCTCGAAGACAGCTGAAAAGAAATAAGGAATATTTTATTATACAAATACTATGAAGAGCAGGATGAAGTAATATTTACATGAATTCATTCAAAGTTAGTAATTCTTTTTTGGGGAAAGGGATACTCTTCTTTAATAAAATCCCAGAGGCTCTTTTATCACTGCCTTTCAATAAATTTAAGAAATGTATTAAAGAAAAGCTGTGTAAAAAGGCTTACTATAAAGTCAACGATTATCTAGTTGATAAAAGGGCCTGGGACTAGTGCTAGACAGGCTACTTCTAATTAATTTGCGATATTTGTTTTAAATAAGTGTTGTTTGATGATTTGCTGTTTTAAAAGAGTACCGAGAGTTTTTTACGCCGGCTTTTTCTCTCGGCCTACACCCTCTGTCTTCTTTGCCGATGAGTAGGGATGCCTTCAAATTTAATGACGTGGAATAAGTGATACATGTATCTTATGTTCCATAATAAACATATTTTTTTTATTTAATAGAAGAATATCGGAAAGTTCACGTTACAAAAACTTAACACATCCTTTGATGTTCTAACGTCATAGACAAGAATTACTTCTAGATATGAGCTTCATAGACTATTTTAAATTTTTCCCTCAATCTACGAAAATAAAAATGAACCGCCGTAATGTATGTAAGCACATATCCGAACGACTGCACCAAAATTATAGGCCTTTTCATTTTAATATTGTCAATATCAACGTTTGTACAATAGAATAAAAAAAAAACAAAATATTGTTAAAATAGTGGATAGTCTACTTTATTCACAAAGACTATGTATTTAAAAATAAATATATTATACTCGCTGACCCGGCAAACATCGTAATGCCATGTACCTATATTATTTCTAGGAAACATTTTTTTAGTTCAATAAACTTTCTACTATAATAAAAAATACGGGTTGATCGTAGAGGGGTTGTATGTCATATAAAAATAAAAAGTTTTGTCTAAAAAATAAAAATTAAGGGGTGGAACCACCCTTAACAGACTTATTGAATATTCATAAAAAAATTCATAATCGGTCGAGCCGTTTCGGAGGAGTATGGGAACGAACATTGTGACACGAGAATTTTATATATTAGATTAAACATACCTTTCGCAGTTTTAAAACTATTAGGATAGCTTTTATCTGTTCGCTCGCGCATAAACACCCACTTGTCGTCTTCAAAGCGACATTCAATTATTTTATTGTTAAGGTTTTTTATGGCCTTTGTCACTTTTATAGTAGCTACTGGTCTATCATCCTGACCAACATATAATTGTCCCACTTTTTCTTTTAGCATTCTGCAATACATAATATTTATCTATAGCGTCTGATGAAAAAAGTATTCACACACAAATGAAATTCAACATCATTTCGAATAATAATCACTTAAATAAACTTGCAATTTATCTCAAATTCACATATTTTTCTAATATATTAAAAAAATTATAGACTTATTAGTCATACAGTGGGTACTGATTATGTTACAAAAAGTAACATAATAAGTACCCACTGATTATGTTACGTTTTGTGTTGTCCTTAAAGTGTTTTAAACACGTGGCTAAGTTCAGCAAAGCAGCAAAGGCTGTGAATCACTGTTAACATGTCCTAGACCAGTCACGTTCATGTTTCAGTTATGGTATGATACGGTATTGTGGGTAGATTTAGTTTTTATAAATATGAGGGTATGTCGATCGCAAAAATATGTAATAAAAAATAATTATACCCTGGTTTTTCTTGGGTCACAATATTGAGCCTAAAGTCGATACTGTTCATGTTGCTTGGTTTCCATTTTAAGACGTTTTCGCACGCACCAGGAATGTATGGCTGCAATTAAACTTAAATTCATACTGGAATGACATAAAATTTTTAATAATGAAAGATGTGAAGTGAACGAACATCGAGAGACGGTTGGAAGATAAGACCATCAGGCTCATGGTGCAATGTACTGGCGAATTTGTCTGTAAGTAATCTCTCAGCCAATGAGACATCCCAAAAATCCTTTTTTACGACCCGAAATGGTTCAGCGTTTTTATCAAGAAGACCCTCGCTGATGGCACGGTTTCTGAAATGTAATGTTATACTTGAGAATTGTTGATGAACCCATAGTTCCAGCGGCTTCCCCTTAAGAAGTTTTCTATTAAAAACAAATAAGAACCTTGTTTGTTTGGCTTGATCGACTTCTACACTGGGACTGGGACAAGTACCCGTTTGCCCCGTTTAGTACTTACTACTAAATGGCGCGGTTTTTTTTTGTTGCAGTGCTAAATTACTTTTTTTGTTAAGTTGACAACATTGTTACGTTATTATAGTTCGACAATAATCTTCTCAAATGTAACATGGGGCAAACGGGCAGGCGGCTCATCTGATGTTAAATGATACCGTCGCTCATGGACACTCACATTGGCTCACAAATGCGTTGCCGGCCTTTTAAGAGTTGGTACGCTCTTTTGTTGAAGGACCCTAAATCAATTTACGTATTTTTTAATTTAATAAGGACATACCAATTTCTTTTTCCTTATTGTATGTAGATCTTATTCAACTTACCTGGGATTCATAATTTCGTTTGTAATGCAGTCCAATCTCACCGGGAAAAATGGTTCTTTACCAACATTTTGATTTTCAAACCTGATAATATCATAGCAAAGGTATCTAAAAATCGTTTTGTCATCAACTTTGTCAATTACCATTTCCTGAAAAAAAAATGTCTGTGAGTCACAATGCCTTATTAGTTTTTATAAATCCGAATCCTAACATTTGGGATTATGGTCAAACGACTATCCAGTTTTGTATAGAAATTTTCATCCAAATTAGTTTCTAAAGAAACTGAAAATCTTTGACAATCACATATTGGTGAAGTCTTCGCTCGTTCGAAAATCAATTTTCTGACACGCCATCGATTTTTTAGGTCTAAGACATGCCGCTTTCCTTACGACGTTTACCTTTACCGGTGGTGGTAGGTGCGATTGTAAAAAGTGTGGTCTCGTACCTCCGGGTCGGCTGACCAGAGAGACTATAGAGTTGAAAGTCGCATGGTCAAGCCACTAGACCACACAAACATTATGTAATTAAATATGTAGGTTTAAGAAATTAAATATTTTGACACCATCTGGTCAATATATTCTTGAAGCCTTGTTGTATGTACAAAAAAATATAAACGAGTTTAAAACAAATAGTGACTTTCGCCAGTATAATACTCGAAACAAAACAAATCTAAGCGTACGACCAACCAGGCTCCAGTATATAAACCACTCTTTATATGGAAATTGTAAGCGTTTTTACAACAAACTCCCAAGCGAAATTAGATAATTATTACTGAATAGGTAAACTCGAAACTCTCGTTAAACGTAAATTAATCTATAAGCTTTTTATAAATTTGATAATTAATGATCCTAATTCTTCGGATTGATTTGCTCCAGTTCAAACAATTTGTATGACTCAAAACTTGGCGATTAAAAAGAGTGGCGGAGAGTTTCCTGCCAGTTCTTGCCCACTCTAAGGGGAATCTTAGTCCCTTGGACTTTCCAACTTACCTTACGAAAAACTTTGCTTAGTGTACACTAAGGTTAAACTATGATTTCGTATTTATAGACATTTTAACGGTGAGATTAAGCTAAGCCCAACTAAGACAGAAAATGTCAAAATACAAATTGATGTTTCATTTCATGCAATACTTTGCTTTATTATCCTTTAAAAAAGTTAACAATAACAAATATTTAAAAATCTAAAACGGTACACATATATCTTCAATTTATTGTTATTTATGTATTCATTTATTTTATTATTGCAATAACTAGAAATTCACGAGTAACCTTTAGAAAATGTATTAATTATTTAAAGATGACAATAATTTTATTACGTAGAACGGATCGCAATGTTTTGGTTAGGTTATAGTTTGAATTTCGTTGTCACTATAATATGCCAATTGCCAGGGCTCCAGGTGACTACAAAATCACACCAGTTATTTTTAAGATTTCTCAAAAATGGGGTTTGAACAATTACATAAATAATATAAATAAACAACAATAAATACCATAATAATGTGTAATTATTTTTATTTCATGCATTTCATAGGTATTTATCAAGATCACTTTATAATTTCTTTGAATTCAAATTCTATTTTTCCCAAAGTCTATGGAACTCCATACAAAATGGCAACACCGTTCATTAAAAACCGACAAAAATAAAAAGTCCAGTAAAAGATATGATGGTAAAGCAAATTTTGGGCCATTATTTTTGTTAGGCTTATAGTCAAAGTTTTTGGTAAGTCGTCGATTTCGTGGACTTGAGATTAAGCTAAGCCAACACTAGGGAGAGATTCGTAGTTTGCTCTATAAATACCGACTGTGTCTTAGCTCGATAGTTAAGTCAGAGCAAAGTCTAAGTGCGCACTATAGATCTCACTCTAAGCCCTTGACTTGCGAACTGGTAGTAAATGTAAATTAGAATCAATTTAACATAATTTCTGTTGACGTTCATAAGTGTACTTGGTTACATATATGAATAAAGTTATTTTGAGTTTAAGTTAAGGAACCACTATAAGAAGCTTCACAGTTATGCACAGTTTTATACACTAATTTATCTAATAGCCAATAATCACAGATAAGCAAACATTAATATGTCATAAAGTATAGACACGAAATTCGCGCCTCCTAGCAAAATAAAAACGGATTAATGATACAAATTTCATATCGTTCATGTCTATTACAGAATCGTTTTGACGTAATTCAATTACTCGGACATAAATATTACGTGACTCACCCCGTCGAGTAAAGTGTCGCGTAGATGCCTGTTAGCTTTGTTGTGAGGAAACCTTAAACCATGAACTTGAAACACACAGTTATCTCTATCAATCATATACACTTGATTTTCATTTTCTATTAACATCATAAACCTGGAAATTTATATATGTTGTATGATAAACAGTTTCCTTTAAAAAAAAATTTTATCTTTACAAATCAGATACCGATTGCAAGAAAATAATTTACTACACAATCGCTCATAACGTATATATATATATATATATAAGGTTACTGTTTATCAAAAATATTTCAATACATATTTGCATGTTTGATCATTATTTTGGAGAAAACACATATTTGATTAAACTAAAAATCGAAGTCTGGTTACACGCCAGAGTCTTCACCCTATCTTTTTGTTAATTTATAAATCATATTCATAAAATATTAACTTTGGGTTTACATACTGTTTTCAATTTTATATAAATTTTAGAAAAATAATCAAACTCACCGGACACCATCAGCCTTCCACGACACGCGGTAAGGTTTCTCCCTCAGTTTAGAAATATTCTCCAAATCCATAGACACAGGCTGTGAGCCTGGGAACCCTGAACCACTCCATTTGCAGAATTGTTGTGCCTTTTTCTGGATTTCACTAAGACGTGGTTGGGAATCAAACGGATCCACTCCGTGTACTCCAGGCATGAATTCAGTCTTTTTGATTTTAGCCTCTTTTCGACGTTTCTTTGACCTAAATATATGTAAATATATAACAATTATACATGTCAATGTTAGCCTAGAGGCTATAACTATCAATCCTGCAGGGTTTTTGTTCTGGCTGTCCACCAATTAGAGTTTTCTACATGTTGCATCACTTGCACCTTGAAACCAGCACCTCCATAGATTGACAATGTTACAAGCACAAAAGCAGAACGCAAGGGAGGGCAATTTGATTGTTAATGGGGGCGGAATTATTCAAAAATTTATTAAAATTATTTGGAATTTAAATGTCAGTTCTTCATTATGTTTTGAAAATTTACTCACTGTCATTCGTAAACAATTTCCTAGTAATTTCTTACCTATAATTCAAGTTTCTACAGTGAAAAATTAAATGTTTTAATATTAAAAATTATGTATGGTACATTTAACATAAGAATTTTAAAAAGGCTAAGGTAGCGCATGGCACAAAAAAAGGTTGCGTGTACTTATGTACGCGCGTAAGGAGTTATACTTCTTTGGCATTATTAAAAATAGTTTTTGATTGCATGCAAATAATTAATTACAATTAAATAATCAAAGACTGGAAAAGGAGTCATTATAGTCAATAAAGTTCAGTTTACATATGAAAAATTAAATAACTAAATATTTATTATTATTCTCTTACATTAAGTGTAACATAAATTATATTAATATTCGAATGTTATTTTTTAATTATGTCCAATGCCGTAGCATCTTCCGTGGGCAACTTCATTCTGTTAATTTTGTGTCACGGTGCGCGCGCATCGTAAAATTTCACTCTCATCAATTTTTCATAACGCGCCTAAAGAAGTAAACTTCAAAAAGTGAACAATAATAGTCAAGAACACATACAAAAATCTGAGTCTGAGACCACGTTGCTGTAGCACCCTTAATGTTACACTTGTATTTTAAATAACCTTTTCTCATTTGGCATCTTTCTTTGCAAAAATGTTTTAGTTTGAAAAATATTATTGTACTAAAGTATTCAAATGTTTACAAAATGTTAAAATGGTGTAGCAGTCACTTAATTCTAATTAGGGTGTTACGCATATTAATTAGAAGTTAAGAACTCACTTTGGTGGACCATACATCTTTGATTCTGCTGCTTGTGAGGAGCTGGGAGCATTATCATTATCATCATCATCATCATCATAATCTATTTCTTCTTCTACAAACAAAAAGTTTAGTACAGTCTATAAGTCAATTCAACGTAAATTACTTTATTATATACAATGTAATAATTTAAGCTTCTAGTCAGTATTAGTTGCAATACAAAATAAAAATTACCAATGTCTATCCTAGAAAATAATGCTACTTAACCAACTTAAAAAAAAGAGGTTTTTAGTCTGACCTGTAAATGATATTGTCGAGATATTATTTCGGTATGATGATCTATTTAGACTTGAGGTTTTGTAAGTGTATTTAAAAATTAATAGACACATTGATCCTATCATATTACATTTGATTTGAATCAGGTATATGCCAACCTACAAATATTATCAAAATAGGTATGAACCTAAGTTAATATATATAAATCTGGGCATCCCTGCACTTCTCTTATATCTATCTATATGGGTATTTGAAATTAATTAAATTTTTCTAAATTACTTTTTGTAGGTTAACTGTTCATATCTGAGCCAAGCCTAAATTTTAGGGTGTTTCTTACCTCTCTCGTAAGAGAGTCCCCTCTTACAAATGTAAAGCTAATAAATAAACTAACCAATGCACCAATCCGGTCTTTCTGGAGCTGCCATAGGGTCAGCATCACTATCATATCGTCTAAATAGCTCATTTATATAATCTTGTTTATATATTCCTGGTTGTCTGTAAAGCATGTTTTAATTAAATTATAATACATACACAATCAGAACACAACTTTGAATCACTTAAATATCACTTAGTAACTGGAAATAAAAACATAAAGAGCTCACTGATAGACCTACATGTAAATTCAATTCAACAATAAGTACTAAGCCTAAGGAATATTGAAACAGAGACTGGGAGACCGCAAACCTGCTCCTGCTAAGGATAACAGTTTGCAGTCACAGTTGCTTCCTACAAAAAATTAATATGTTTATGTACTATTATTTTTGAGAGCTATGCTTACTTTAGTTGACAAGAGGAAGGGGGGGGGGGGATAAATTGCAGTAAATCTGCTTACGTAATACTTGAACGGCCTCTGAGAGAGTTAAACATGGTGATTTGGCTTTATATAGTCTAATAATATTCAAAAAATATTGACTGACCTTTTTCTACTGAATTCTATAATTGATGCATCAACACTTGAATCAAATTTCTCTACCATATAGGAAACTATTAGAAATCCAGTTCTGTTAAACCCATGTGTACAATGTACACCAATAACTGCAAGTGGATTTTGGGAAATAAATTCAGAAACAATGTCTATAAACTTCCTGTAAATAAATATTAATATTAAACAATGTCTGTATTCACTAGCAAATCATATTCTTATAGAAAAAATGGAAGCAGGTGATTCACTAGGATTTTGATGGAATATTTTGAATCATTAAATATATATATATATACTAGTTGACCCAGTGAACTTCATTTCACCTACATATATTTGTGTCAAAACTTAATACATTTATAAACAGACTGAAAAGATCAGATTCTTACACTACACCTATGAAACAGAAATTTCTGAAGGCATCTATAAACCAAGTGACAAATATTTATTCTAAATTAAGACAAAAGACATAAAATATTTCCCAGCTAGGAACAGTTTTTACTGGAAAATTTAACTGGCATTTTTAGTATTTTTCTTAACCTATAATTTAAGTTTTCACTTTCCCTAAACTTCCAGAAATATATCAATATAATAATTAGCCAAATCGGTCCAGCCATTCTCAAGTTTTAGTGAGACAAACAAACATCAATATATTTATATATATATATATAGAGACGACTCTCTGATATATTTATTTTACTTGTTATATGCAATATTTTAACTAAAACCCCCCAAAACCGACCTAGAACTGAATATAAATCAAAAAGTATTAAGGATAAGAACAATAACCTTGTTTGCTTTTCAGATGGTGTTTCACCATGACCCCGACAAGCCATTTTAACATATTTACAATCCATCCTTTCAATTTCTCTTTTATCATAAAACCGAGAGGTGTTAGTGAGATCAATCCAAAGACCTAGTTTCATCTGCAATGTAATACTTTTATTAAGGTAAGGTTTTGATTAACTAATCTGCACAAATTTTACTTGTAAGCAGTTGCTTTTGTGATATGTGACATTTTATACTATATATTTGGTAATTAAGTCACTTCAAGGAAATAACACGAGGCAAAATAAGCTGAGCTAATTATCATAATTAATAATGACCTGCTATTAAATAATACCAGGAAAATAAACAATAAGATATCTGTTGAAAACACACCAAACATTTTGGTGAGATAATAGTGTCAATAAATAGATAAACATTAACTAGGGTTTTACAGTGGAACTTCAGTATACATACCCTTAAACCTTTCATGTAATCAAAGAGCATTGATGGAGTGAAACGATTGTTTTCAGGAACTTTATCATTGAACTCGGAACCTAAAGGCGTTTTGAAAGCAAGAAACTTCTCGGCTATTATTTCAGAAGACTTGCGTGGACAATGCAACCATCTACTTGGCAAAAGTCCCGGATCCCTATTACTCATTTTTACTTGGTTAAGCTCCTTTGGCCCAGTTTTTATGACTTTGTAGCAATTTGCTACTTCGTGGCGAACTTAAAAAAATCTCCACCATGTAATTCGACACGTTTTACTTATTAAAGCTTATTGCTTACTCCTAAACCAGATTACATTGGTGATAACTTTTATTTATTTTGAATAGTATTCAAGAGTTTCTCTATCCTATCTTCTATTCTATGTACGATTTTAGTTAGAGCTTTATAATTTTTAATTTTATAATTTATGAATCGCAGTTCATCGAGTCCACAGATCAAGTAGAAGTAAAAGAAAAACAGACTCAAAATCTAGTTCTGACTTAGTATGACAACTTACTACAAAGCAGATGGCTTAAAGGCCTCGTTACCGGGCCATAAAATTAAAAAAAACATAATTACAAGCCAACTTCTACAGAATATTCTCCCTAGGACCAACTTAAAATACCCCTAAATATCGATTAAAAATCCCTAAAGTACTATACTACTTCTATACTATATATACGTAGTTAATGATAATACTAATATAATAACCTAATACTATTTATTATTGGGTGATAATATTAATAATTGAAATTAAACTATTTTATTTAAATTTAGTTTTTTCTTAACTTTTCATAGCAAATATTTTTTGCTTTTTCCTCATTTTCTTTTCTTAAATATTTTTTATCTCTTCTAAGCGTTGAGCTGTTATTTCGATCTTGGAATATTGTAGCTTTTTGATATTTAAGTTAGAGCGAAGAGTTAAGTTCGGTGGCGGTTGTTAGAGGGATGTTCAAATAAATGAAAATCTTTGTTTGAAGCTGGGTGCCAACTGGATTTAATCGTATTTTGTATAATACAAAGAAGTTTATTGAAAATAACAGTGTTTTCGACAAATTAATATTTTAACACGTTAATTCAATTTTTTTTAATAATCAAAGAACAAATATAAGTGATTATATCGCTAATCAAATTTTCATTTTAAGCAAGAATTAATTACCTTTTTTTCTGCATTTGTTGTTGTAATAAACAATGTAATTTACATTAGCTATTCACGTCACTTTATTAACAGTTGACAAAATAGTTTACGTATAGGTTGTGTGCTGGCGCTGTCTCTCTTTTACTCGGCCGATGGAGTGGAAAGGAGATAAAATCGTCACAAGCCAAACAAAATGATAAGACGTTATCACGTTAGAAATCTTTTTCTTCGATAAATTACCTCCCATAAATCGCCCTAAATAAATATATCTCTTAAAACTTCCTGGAAAACTTGGTTTCCTCTAAATTTGGGGGGAAGCCTCATGTTTTTCACTGTTACAAAGATTAAAATGCCGAGTCCCGAGACTAGGAAAACACTACAGCCATATTAATCATATACTGATAATCAGCTATCTAAATCTCAATCTCAATGGATTTGAGGGCTCTAGACATATATACTTTTCTACAAGCGTAATCTGCTATATCTCTATAGACTATAGAGAAATGGTTTCATGTGTTTCAACACAACAACATGTAACGTGAAGCTCGAGACAAACGAGACGTGACCGCGTAACCCTCTAACAGATACAACGGAATTTGTATAAGAATGACATTATCTCAAGCTTAGTCAAGGGACCATATTTATAAAAATTCGTTTGGCGTTAGTGGGCCACGCCTGTCAAAAAGTCATTTTGTCTCAAGCCTCTCGTATGTTTTGTCTCCCATCATATCATTTTTAATTGATTGAGTAGGAAATTTTCAGATACATTATTCTACCAAGAGTTATATCCTTACGATCTAATGGTTATTACTTTGATGATATTGTATATCATGCTTTTATAAACATATTTACTTAAACTATAAGTAGTAAGATTTAAGCTTTTAATTACTAAAATCTGTTATATACCTAAGACACGTTTCTATACACACGTCAAAATATTGACACGTAGAACACAATATATCATATTTAAAATACTATGAAGTATTTAAAAAAAGATGAGAAATTATATTTAAGCATCCAATAAAGAAAGATTGTTTAACTGTGAGTTTCAAGAAGTATTAGATGAAACTTGTTATAATGAAGGGTGGCTCTCTTGGTATTTGCACAATTCTTGCTTCGCTAATAGATAATACTGTAAATGAGATGCTATGTTATGACCTCAATTTTCACTAGCGTTATTAGAACCAAATTAAATTGATTACTTTGATCTATTATCCTCTTAAACATATGCCAATTTATGGCAACATTACAACTTATTTATTTGAACTGGTAACATCAAAACTATTTTTAGTTTGACAATGATAAAAACGAAATCTGGGAATATTGCTTTCTCGTTCTAGCACTTAAAAAATTTGCAGTTCGGGATGAGATACCATATATTTTGTCATTACGTTGGCTATACTAGAAGTTCATATTAGCCCAGACTCTGCCTGCCATTTTGTAAGATAGAAGGGTGATAATAAAAAGTTTTATGGTTTTAAAATTTTTAAAAAGCTTATTTGCTAATTTTATTAGGGCCCATAACAAATGTTTAAATGGACGCTACGTCCATAATAACTCAGGTGTCACGGGATGACGAGCAGTTAAACAACTATGGATCTGAAAGAGGTAAACCTGAAGCTACACCTGTTACCTACTGCCATCAGTTTGGAGAGTATAATGTTACCTCTGCGCGATTGTTTGTGCGTGGATTAATGTATCGTGATTGTTCTCCAAGAATCGTGCATTATTAAAGACTTCAACGGATACAACTTGTGATTGGAATCCGATGTAAACAACAGTGCTGTTTCGACAACAGTAACTGCAACCTTGAGGACTTGTCTCATACTAATCCCACACGGATTAGAGGATTTAACTTCCGCGTGTGTAGTGTTAGTGCTAACGAATAATGGTTTTTTTAGGAGCTACTACTGACGGGCAGCATGAGGGAGATGGAACACCAGTATCAGGTTCCACTCCTATTGGGACGAAGAAGTCAAGTGGTACGGGTGGATTCCTCCGATCGTTATTGTGTTGTTGGCGTGGTGGTCGAGGAAAGGGCCCACCTAGTGGAAATGGCACAAATAGTATTGATGGCAGGGCTTCACCTCCACTCCTTGTTATGTCAGACCATGCACCGAGACCATTACTTCCACCTGTGAGACATCAGGACATGCACAAAAAATGTATGGTGATAGATCTTGACGAAACATTAGTCCACAGTTCTTTTAAGGTAAGTTGCAGATAACAAAAATGTTATAATGAATTTATCTTACTATGAAGACCTGCTCATTATCTAACAAATGCAGTAAATGTATATGATTGTGCCTTATCTTAATTTTGTTTATCAATTTATCATGAATCAGTGAATGTCATAAGTTATTTTCATAGTTTTGTTGTTATAAATATAATAATGTGCATTTGTAAGATACAGATGATGGTTACGATTATAATGACTGACTGGCCTGACTCTTTTTCTCTGAAAATATTACATGTAAAAATAAGTCATGTATAAATATGTCCTAAATTCTACCCATTTAATAGTTACACCTGACAGTATTGTTGTTTCCTGTAAGTTCTACTTTTTGGCTATTTGCTTAGGTATTTATTAATATTACTTTATAGATATTTCATTTTTGGCCTTAAGATGTATTCTAGTTTAAGGTTACATACTATTTGCAATTGGATATGCAGTTAATTAGTTAGGCTATTTAAATTGGTTACAAGCAATTATTATAATTTTCAACTTGTTATCTCTACTGCACAGATATAACTGTAAAGAAGAGCTATGAAAGCCATTATGTTTAGTGCCATTTGGCGTGTTTCAGATATCCCAAGCTTTTTCTTTAGACTTGTTGGTGTCAAGTTTAGCTAGTAAAAAACCAACATTACTATATGTTGGTTTATGGTTAAAATTTTATTGTTTTACTAACAACCCCTCCTGACTGCTGTTGATGAGGACTTTATTTTATGATATGTGTGTTGACTGTGGAAGTTATTCATATAATATGTTTTTGTATGAAAATATTATAAAGTTTTAAGGCTTTTTGTATTGGGCTCATATAAGACATATAAATTTTATTGAAGCATCTTAACATTTTCATCAAATGTTATAATTGTGACAGAAATTACATAATTTGAATAGTAGTATCAACTGCATGTGCATATTTGATAATGATCACCTGGTTTAATGATGGCATTGATATACAATGTATATTATTAAGTGATAATTTGCAGGAAATAACTGATAAACATTCAATGTCAATAATAAATTTTTATTAGGGAATAAATCAGTTTATATTATAAAGTTGCTGGAGGCTGCTGTGTGATGTTAATTGTTGAAAATATTAATTCAAATTAATAATTTTGTTAATATGAATTTTATTTTGCTAGAATTGATCCCAAGACCTTAAGTTAAAGTGCTAGTCTAACTAATGAAATATCTCTGATCGGAAGCAATTGTAATAGATAAAGTTTATAATCATTAAGCTTCCATTCTAGTTTATAAAGGTGAACTAATTGCTATTTGTAACATGAGCAGGGGGTGTGCGATGAACTCTGACACTCATGGAAATAGACTCGAGCCTTGTAGGGTTAATAATAATTGACGATCGTTTTGATCCAATATTGTGTTAATTAGGCTATAACCAGTTTTGTTGAATGGTTATGCAAAATAACTCTGTAAAACCGATATTTCTTACCTGTCCATTCCAATAATGACTACATCCAACGACGTAACCCAATTTCAGTGTCGATGTATTGATAATGACGCAAGTTGAAATAACGTTGCACGAAAACTCAATATCAAAATCAAAACCCATATTGATGTTACCGGGTATTCCGATCCTTATAAATCGCTACTCCATCAACCTAAAACCAAATTTTGGTTGAATAATTTCTTTTAAGCAAAAAGTAGTCTACTATTATAGTGCCTTATTTACGACCGCGGTCTATTTTCAAAATATGGAAGTTTGCAGTAAATTTTTGTATACAACGCATTTCGACGCCCCATTGCCATTAGTACTATTTTTAATGTAGAAACTAAAATAACAGGTATTTAGGTTTTATTTGTTTTTGCCTTTTGCCTCTTTTGTAGCTGGCCTCTTTTACTAAAAACACATGGTGAATTCTCGCGTGGGCGGTTACAAGACGGATTAAATTTTCCTTAATTGGTTGTTGTACTAATTTCCATACTATAATATATTACACAATAGCTTATTTACATAATAGTTTATTTCCAAATAATGTTGTAAAATATTGGGTTCAGAAGGCCGTCTCTATATTATGATCACCGACCATTTGTTTCCGATTATAATAGTTCAAGATGTAATTAATATTTTTATTATGTTACCTCGCTATTTGACTATAAAATACGGAAATTTAAGAATGTATGTAAAACGATTGTTGATTTTGTCTATCCCTTGTGCGTTTTAGTCCGTTGTTTTATATATGCAGGCTGAAAATACGCCGTGTGTTTTAATTTGATCGTGGGTAGGAGAATCGCCTGCTCTGAGGTTCAAAGGACCTAAGCATAGACGTGAGGGATTATTCTGAAGTTCATAAATACGTAAGAATCCCAATAAACCACTCCAAAACGAGTCGATACACAATATACAAGGAATTAGTACCTCGCGTGTCAAGGTTGTCTTTTTAGCATTGCAGCGGAACACAAATATGTAGCTTATAAAAACGTAAAAACACGTGATTATCAAGGGTAATTTTCTGAGGTAAATAACAAATTGCTGAAAACTTGCCTGCTAAGGGAAATGATCAGTAAAATAGGCATGATCACCATCATCAGTCCTTCACTTCCGTAGTGCATATATTTTAATAGCGATAGATCTTTGGCTCTAATTTATATAACATACTAGCGGATCCGACAGACGCTGGCCTGCATGATATTTCAGCGATTAGGATATTAAACAAAGTATGAAAGTACCGACTGCAGCGCGATCTGCCGGGCTGATTTGTGAATTTAAACCATCCAGGGCGCCACCCACACGTATACAAAAAAATTCATTCAAATCGGTCCAGCCGTTTAAAAGGAATTTAGTGATATACGCACGTAGAGTAGAATTATATATTATATAAAGATATTAAATTATATATATATATTTGGGAATCCAAAAAAATATTGTAAACTGCCCCGTTATTCATAAATATTTTTATAAAAGCGATTGCATATGTTTACCTGATCACTGCGGGCTGTTATTTGAACATATATATGGTAGATACAAATGTTTAATACAACATGTGGTTAAGGACTGTACAATACAATAAAAATTATGAAATTTCGTGGCTTTAATTAGTTTATTTTTGAACATTACAGCTTTACCATCTTAAATTATCCAAGACGCTTTGCTAGATTTTAGCGTAAAACTTTAAATTATAAAAACTCAACGTGAGTAGTGAACAAAGAATCAATTATTGGAGCATTAGGCTACGTATCGCGGAACTGGCCGTTGCTTCATTAACCGAGTATTTCGAGATGTGGGACGCTATTTTTGTTGAACTATTTAAATAGATAGCAATGTTTAAATACGGTAGAATAAACAGCTAGGGAATCGTGTTCTGCTTTATCGGCTAATCCTCGTAGCATTAAGATGCATTCTTAAAGGAGCAAAATTCATATGGAAAAAAATTACAATATAGTCGAGGATTTGGACTATCTACCACCGATATCCAATGTATAAATCAAAGCTACGATAATGTTGAATATAAATAAATAACAGTGATGTGCGTTCTATACACCAATATATGTCTTATAGCCATGGGCGGATCGTGAATTTGTAGGTCTCTGGGCTATTACGGGGAAGTCCGGAGTCCTCCGTAATAGACGCATATGCGAAAAAGTACACCGACCGAAAACAAGAAACGGGGAATTCCCTGTTCCCTGTTGTGTTTTTTTTAAATTTTGCCTATTTTTTGTTTGTGTTGTTGTTTTTAGTGGGTACTGGGAGCCCTTTGTATTTACGGGGCACTAGCCCAAAAAGCCCTTAAGTAGATCAGCCCCTGCTTCTACCAATGACTGGGTCAATAGAACTCGAGCGTAAACTGCAAACATTTGCAAAGCTGATTTTTTGTCGGTATTTTATCTTAAGATTACAAAGTTGTTGCTTATCATGAATGAGCCGATATACAAGCGTTACGGTCAAAGAGGATAAATGAAAGAGTTATCGTGAAGATCAGATTAGATAATCTTCTCAAGTTTCCTTTTGTTTGTATCAAAGTTAAAGGTCAGGAGCTGGCACTAGCTATACATTTGATCATTTGTTAAAGTAAGAATATCAGAGCAATTTAAAAAATATACAAATGAAAAATAATATAGAAGGCTTTTCGCTTATAAGGGAGCGTTCAAGTATTACGTCACGAAAGTTTTGGAGATTATTGACCCCCCCATATAACGCGCCGTAACGTTATTCTGTACCCACTAGTAAAACGTTTCGTGACTATACGTACGTATTATACCTAAAAGTTACCATTATGTGGTGTTAAGTACTGGAAAGTCGAAAATAATATTAACAATAACGCGTAATTCAATCCCCGCCCCGCATCGTAACGTTTTACAAAAGAATTGCACACGGTGTGCAAATTTGATTGAAATCGGTAAAGTAGTTTAGGAGTCCATAGCGGACAAACAACGTGACGCGTAATTTATATATATTAAGATCTCTCAATAGCAACACTGTTTGCGATTCAAAAGCATGTGTTATGTTACTACTATATATTTCAGACTTATAACATAAATGTAGAAAACTTCAGTTAATCTTTAGACACTGCTAAATACTGAACAGTGAACATATTTAATATCTTTGATTTATCACCTCAGCTTTTATTGTTAACTTTGGAACAACAAACCGTATTATTTAAGACAATATTTAAGGTTTTAGTGCAATACATTTCATGAAATCATACTAGTGTACACAGTAATTAACCTTGAGTTTTTGTAAGACTACGATCAGATCGAGTATATATTATGAAATAATTTTACGAATTTAACATCCAATTTATTATTATGTAATGTTTATATCTCGGTCCACAAACAAATGCTTTATGGCTTTTACTGCGGCCCACATTTCCTTTTCCTTTGCTTCTTCGGCCAAATCGATCACCAAACGCAAGAAAACGCGTTATGTGTGACCTTGTGGAGTGTCCATGGGCGGTAGTTTGACTATACATCAGTTGATGACATAAGCTACACCAAAGAAGCTTTGTACTATTTTAATGATACAA